GAAACCGAGTAGCGTCTCTGATATATCTTTTACGTCTTTCCTCGCAACCAAAACGGATTAGTCTATTATTTATTACGTATAGTGATTTTCCAAGCGTAGCTCAGATGTGGCACAAAACCGAAAGTAGGGGGCACCCAATGAGGATCGAATTCACTACTCAGTCGTAATTGTTCTAGCGAGAACTAGTGATTTTCTTTTTCTTTTCGATGATAGTGATTTTCTAAGCGCTGATTAGATGTGGCACAAGGCCGGAAGTATTGAGCACCCAGTGAGGATCGAACTCAGTACACAGTCGTAATTGTTCTAGCGAGCCCAGCTTGCTAACCATTACACCTCCCCTAGGCGTCCTATTTATTACATATAAGCAGGACGTAATGTACGTGTTAAGTAAAGAAGAAAAAGAAAGAAGTGTGGGGAATAATATTTTTAATACATTTTCATTTTATTTATTTAAAAAAAATGTCTTAGTAGATTGTTTTCTTTTATTAGATTACTTCAGAATATTCTGTGGTGCGGGGAATACAACTTGTGAATTATATTGTGTTGACGCGATAATTCTGATTGACCTCCCCGAGTTTCACTTAAAGCAGTTTTTTTTTTTTTTTTTTTTTTTATCTACACCTTCTGGTGAGGGCTTCATATTTTATCTCCTTTTTTTTTCTTGTGTGATTTTTTACATATTTCTTATATTCTCGCTACTTGTAGTCGATGTAAATTCGCTTTTAGGAGGGGTGTCATTTTTTTCTTCTCATTTTTTGAGATTTCTTTAGAACAACGATCTTTTTCGTTGTTCACAGAATATTATTGGTTATTGCGGACAAGTTACATTTTTTTTTTCGTAACCACAATAATCCAGAATGCTTAAGGTTGTCAAGAATAATGATGAGTCCATTGAAATATTAATAAGGTATCTTTACGTGGACCAGTCGTTGCAAACTGAATACGTCGACCAATACTGTTATATTCTGAATGGTGCCAATTTCTTGATAAGTACTTGAAACCTTGTAATATATTTAGTAAGAATTAGTAAGTTTTTATAATAAATGGTAAATCTAAGTTATTTATCGACGAATTATATTTTATGGATTTTTAATTTTTTTCATTAGGTTGCATCGAGGTACAAACTTAATCGTGTTACTATTCTTGTTTACGTTAATTTTTTTCAAGACTAATTTTATTTCTTTATTGACAACATGGTTTGGGAAAACTCTTATAGATAAGTGTTTGTTTTATATTGCTCAATTCTTTATAAAATGGTTAGTTGATCTCGTTTAGCGGCATATCAACCTCTATAGGTTATTTAATGCCAAAATCTGAATATTTTGAACGCAATTTTATGTCTTCAGCTACAGATTAAATGTATTGTTAGTCATTTTGCTGTAAAATTGTTTTGCTGGTCATTCTACTATGAATAGTTATAGTTGACATTTTTGAATAAAAATATATTGCTGGTATTTTAATATTTTCATATTATTGTGTTTTTGTTTGAGGCTTTACTAATTGTCCATAACATATGCTATCACCCCGAGTCAAAGTGGATCTTAGAACAGCACCAATTATGAAGTGGTTTCATACTCCTCAAAACCTCATACCTCCCGATTAGAGGCCTTGCTGCTGGATGTAGTTTATCGTCAAACCCAAAACCTCTTTATAAAATGAGGTGACCGAAGAAGAAATCATTTTAGCACGGTTAATCATATTCCCTTATAACTCGCTTTTATAATTAAAAGGACTTGAAATTGTCGTTGTGCTTTTTATGAAGTAACAAAATCATCACTATTAGTGCAGTGTAACCCGGATACAAGAGACCCGGATATAAGAGAAAACCGAATATAAGAGAGATTTTCTCTGGTCCCAAATTAGAGCCTGTGTTAATGTATATAAATTAGACCAAACCCGAATAAAAGAGAAACCTGGATATAAGAGACTTCTTCTCCGGTCCCGACAACTCTCTTATATCCGGGTTACACTGTATCAACAGGAGTGCAAGAAAATGGATTCTGTTATTAATGCCGAGTTCATAAGTGAAATTGAAGACAAAGCTATTCTCAGACATTTTCTTAAGTTTGTTTTTTTTTTTTATTTTGTCTAACTTTCTTCTTAATTTGAAAATCTCATCAGTATATCAAGCATATATGGAGGAGAGGGGATGTGATTAAAGGCATTGTTTCCAACATTTATCATGTAGAAATTATATAAAATGGGACCAAGAGGCGAGCCCATGCCTACTTCGTCATTCTTTGTGCAAATGTTGCCGTAATGAACTTAAAAAGACAATAGTGTCGTACAAGATTGTAGAAGTTTGCGTATAATCGTTAGTCGGTTATTAGCAGTTGGAAGCGTGGGATGTTTATATATTCTTTTATTAGTATGTCTATTGTTGCCTTGGTAGAGAATTATTAATTAGTACAGTGTAACCCGGATATAACAGAGTTGTCGGGACCGGAGAAGAAGTCTCTTATATCCGGGTTTCTCTTATATCCGGGTTTGATCTAATTTATATACATTAACACAGGCTCTAATTTGGGACCAGAGAAAATCTCTCTTATATGCGGGTTTCTCTTATATCCGGGTCTCTTATATCCGGGTTACACTGTAACTAAAAAACTATCTTGAGCATAGTCACTTTTTACGCTGACGGAAAATAAAAATTGCAACTCCATGAAGGATGATGCTGATTGTGACATGCGCAGAGTATGTACATTCCAGCGCCTCTGAACTGGCAGCGATGGATGTTGCATATAGATTCTATACAGTGAAGAAGTCCGGAGCAAACAGGAGTCATGTAATTACTTTCTTCAATAGGATACTCGTGATAGGGGTCGGATTATGGAGCTTCAAGGAGTAAAATTACGAAGATTTACTGTTCATATTGGGTGTGAAGCCTTATTAGGACAATGTCGGCGAAATAAACGCTAGGATACCAGGTTATAATAGCCGCTTAGTACAGACGCTCATTACTCGTACTACAACACATTAATAACGCGCGTGGATCATTTATGGGATCGATTATCATTCTGTAATGATCAGTAATAAGTTCGGCTTTTGTTTTCGTTAAAATGATTTCTCGTATGCATATGCACTATATATATAAACCAATGTTCATGTAATACAAGGCCTAAAAGCCACAAGAGATATTGTTGCTAAATGAGTTTCTTGTAAGGACGTTAAGGAAGAATGGCTAAGAATTGCATATTATAAGGATATGTAGTATAGATAACAGTTGAATCTCAACATGGAGTGATTAAGATTGTAGTAGTCGGGGAAGCATCCTCTCGGGAGTCTGTTCCATAAAGTGACAATTCTGGGGAAGAAGGTGACTGAGTGGAACTACTTTCTTATCAATGGAATACGAAAGGAATGAGGCTGATTCGAACCTGTGTATGGGGTTTGATGGTTTCTAGCTGTTAAAGTCTGAATTGGTGAGTATTAGGAATGTCGCTAATCTGAACATTTGCCATGGAAATAGCGATATAGTAGCGAGTCTAACCACGTGTTTTTCGTGGAAAAGGGTGAAAAAGAATATATTCGTCAACGAGACACAGGTTGCAAACCTAACATCATAGTGTGTTCTGACACAAGTTACAGCCCTTTCGTGTTTGTGGAGGGAAATTTTATAAAACAAAAAAAGAAACCAAAAAAAAATAAAAGAACGTTTGTTTAGAAGATTGTTCAGACTCTTATTTGGCCATTTTTATAAGAGGCAATGGACTTCCTATTTCCTGCAGGATAATACACGCCCATGAAATGCCCGTGCAAGACAGAAAAATAAGCGATAGTCGGCATGATCACCAGACTGTTCCCCATTGAATATGCGTGGAATTTAATGGGACGATGCCTGATTCGTTCAGTAAGCTGACGGGCACTTATCGATGCACTGCATCAATAACTGCGCAAAGTTATCTACGTACGCTAATACTGAAAAACACGAGACCCAATCTATCAAATGTAAAATTACATTTTATTCAAATCTGGACTTCGTCAATCCCTATCAGCTAATGGGTATACGGCTCTGGGACCTGCTCCAAACGTGGAATCTACATCTTGTCAGAACATGGGTAATTTTTTTGCTTTTTTGCTTTTTGTATTGACTTGTTTTCTAAAGCTTATCAATTTTTTTTTCGGTTATTTATCTCCGAGACATATTTTGGAATTGTAAGAATAATTTCTTCTTTTCTACGGCTTATTAACCTTCTGTAGGTTGTTTAAAGCCGGAACATATTTTGGAATTTTAAGAAAAAATTTTTCTTTTTTACGGCTTATCAACCTTCTGTGGGTTATTTAAAGCCGGAACATATTTTGGAATTTTAAGAAAAATTTCTTCTTTTTTACGGCTTATTAACCTTCTGTAGGTTGTTTAAAGCCGGAACATATTTTGGAATTTTAAGAACAATTTCTTCTTTTTTACGGCTTATCAAACTCCTGTAGGTTATTTAAAGCCGTAACATATTTGGAATTATAAGATTAACTCTTTTTTAGTGACTGATAAGTTCAATGCGGAATAGGCATACGCGGTCGCAATAGTTGCTGCTGAATGTCCGGCCCGAGTTTGATGGCATAGCATTGCAATACTTCCCGCTTTGCCTCTTGTCCCTGATATTGGCCCTACAGGTATTTTTAAAGGAGACAGCATGGTTGGTGGTGAGATGTCAAACATCACAGTTCTCAGCTAGGGTCGAACATAGGCAATGGTTGATGTGACAGGCACCAGAGGATATTTTCAGGCAATCTTTAAATCGCCGCGATTGCCAGTGGACAGCTCGCTCTATAATAAAATTTTCTTGTACGTATAGCGCTAAGTAAATTGCAACGAATATTTTGGTTACCACGATTTTATTATTCCATCATTGTGTATTTAATTATGTTTAGAACATTACTGGTTAACTAGTTTATAAAATAACTTTTGATTTGCGACTGAAATGAAACTATTTGTCATCGCGTTGCATTGTAGATCAAGAAAGAGTTCCCTTTGAACTTCGTCCGATTGACAACACTTAATAATGCGCTATCAGTGCCAACCACGAGGATTAGTCATTTTTAGACAATTCCGGAGTAAATGTGGATATTTGTTTGGCTTTTCCAGCGAGCGACCATTTTATCTGCATAAAGAAATCTGGTAAATAGTGGATGTATTCTCTGTTTATTTCGAGAAACGTTTATGGACCGCATATCGTATCTAATTTATGGCCTCGATTGATCTCCTTTTAATACAGGGAATACATTTGTTGCACACAACAAAAAATATTGTCGAAAAAATATTTTCATTGATCCCAATATATATTAATGGCAGGACACTTCGGCACGAAGCCGATTATCGATCTTCACAGTTTCTTTTCGTTTATTATTTGTGATTTGTTTTGGAATATAGTGAAGTGGATTCTCTTTGCCTTTTGCCACGTTTTGAATTCAGAGATTTATTTCTCCTTGACTGCTTGCCAAACAAGGCTAGAGAACCCTGTCTAACATGATATTTAGCTTTTAGCTGGGTGTGGGGGGAATTTTTGGATCCATACCATTCTCAAGAGTATTTCTGAGAAAGTGAAGCCCCATTCTTACAGTCTCCTTAAACTATAGCTAGGGGTAGAAGTAATCGATTCATAACATTCTCAAGGACATTTCTGTAAATGCGAAAACCTATTCAACATGGTACTTAACCCATAGCTGGGGGTAGAAGTAATGGATTCATATGAGAATAGTAACGTTGACATCTTGTTCACTGGACAGGAGAAGGGGAGGGGTAGAGATGATTTTTCAAGAGAGGAACAAAGAAAAAAGAAAAGGGTAAAAGAAGGAAAAACTAGAAAGGAAAGGTGAACCAGAGGACATACTACTACTCAACTACTATCGCTTCTCCTAGACACATATACCTCTCTGCTTCTCTTCCTAATTTGTGGATCTTAAAACGCAACTTCCGTTAACCTTGTTTTTCGGTTGATTCCGGGAAGAATTTTTGAATGCATTCATTGTTATGAAATCGCCAGGCCTGACGAAGCGAAATCCAATTATCGCTTTTGCGAAATAAAATATTACCATGGCTTTCTGAAGTCTCCAATTTGTTAACTAATTATTGCTTGACCTGTTTATTACATTGAGCTCTCGGGATATACAGTAGCGGCCATAATATAAGGAACGGAAACAACATTTGTTCCATTTAATCTTTATTTAAAAAAAAAACATATATTTTTAAAATTTTTGTAACTTTGTATAATATTTATGCGTTACACCCTAATCTTTATTCGGTAAAAATTTCATTGCTAATCATGCATTACTTTTTATGTTATACACATATTTATGTCTTTGTTGTTTCCGTTCCTTATATTATGGCTGCTACTGTATATCCTCCCTTGAATTATCCATACGGATTACCAATTAAGTTTATTATATATATATATATATATATATATATATATATATATATATGTGTGTGTGTGTGTGTGTGTGTGTGTGTGTGTGTGTGTATGCAGTAAAATGAAGGTTTGAGTGGTAAAGCGTTACGTTCATTTTACATGAAGCAACGTATTCTTCGACTTTTCTTTTTCTTCTATTTTCTTCTTATCTTCTCCTTTTTCCTTCTTTTTTCTTCTTTATCTCCTTCTTTTTATTTTCTTCTTTATTTCGTCTTCTTTCTTCTTTTTCTTTGACTTTTCTTTTCATCTTCTTTTACTTCTTTTCTTCTATTTCTTAGCAGTAGCAACAGTAGTAGTATTACAAGATGCCACTAATTAGTGGCTTTGTACCATACAAGGTTAGACTAAGTAAATTGCATATATCATATATAATTCGGATTTGTCTCACTTTGAATTAATCCTAACCAGATTCGTCTCGTACCTTATTGCAACTTTATATTAGTGCGATTTTCACTGACCGCCTTAGTTTAGACTTGTTGGCTATAAATGGACGCATATTATATAGTAATATCTTGAACGTCTCGACACTGAAAGGTCGTTAGCAAACTTCTCTTAGGAATTTTTATTACTGTCCCGTGTTCAATTGTATCCTTGTGTCAGACAAAGTTAAGCATAACATATATCAATAAAATATACCGAGTTTGAAGGTCAGCTGACCATAGACTAAACACTGAATAGAATTTGATGCAAGCATCACTGTTCTATAGACGTCATTTATTCATTGTCGCACACCCCGTTTCTCATTTCCTTCGCCTCAGATACACACTCACGCGCCATTACTTTCTATCTATTCATTTCGTATTCTACATTTCAGTTTCTCTTGTTCCATTTCTCTAGACGGCCACGGGTGAGCAAATTCGATGACAGGCAATTTTGGAGGGGAATAAATCTGTATCTGCTGTTGTTGTTTTTTTTTTTCGGTGTTCTCTAATCGCAGTGTTCTACGAATGCGCATTTAACAAATCCCAATAACTTTAAGGCATCTTCTTTGCAAGTAGAGACTGACTCGATATTGTTAGCCACGACCACTGTGTCATCAGCTTTTCTAATCCAGGAATGTTTGGTCGACATCTCATTGCCATCAGATTCTCAGATTTCAATCGTGATATCAACTGAAAATAAAATTGCAAAGTTGACACCTTTTTTTTCTGTTTTCATTTTACTTTTGCATACTTATAAAGCGCAAAAAGAAAAAAAAAATATAGTCAAAAGGGTAAGAATATTGTGCAGGAAGTGAAATAAAGAAATAAAAAAATATGATTTCCTGTTTTTCTATCTCCTTTCGACAATGGGAAATTGGTTTGATTTTTGTTTTAAAGAATGCATGAGACAAAGTTCCTGCCTTCGGATTAAAAACTAGTTATACGCTTCCGTTCTTTTTTTCTTTTTTCGATTAATGTTCTTTGGAATTTCCATTCTTGAAAACCAATCTAAGCGAAAGAAAAACTGCACTGATTGAAAGGCGATAAGGCAGGGAAATCGTGTTAGTAGATAAGAGCGGAGATGTGAAAGTTCTGAAACAAAAGAAATACTCAAGTACTGTTAGATACAAAGGAGGATTATTCATACACACATATGTAAATATATATGTATATATTGACAGATACCGGTATATATATATATATATATATATATATATATATATATATATATGATAAAATATAGAATTATGTTTTGCCATATTTATAGGGTAAAAGTCCTCAATATCCGGCAAACTGCGTGTGTAAATATAAGAAGTGTGGATTACATGAAAGCAACCGCCAGGCCTTACTCAGTTCAAACATAAAACAATCTGTCGCCACTCGCTCTTGACAGCAGTGAGTACATGTTATATATATATATATATATATATATATATATATATATATATATATATATATATATATATATATATATATATATATATATAAGTATAAGATTGGAGTATACGGAATAAATTCCCAAACCAAAAAAAATACTATTCTTAAAAGAGTGCTCAATACAGGAGATAGGGCAAATGTAATTTATTCGAAAATTATAACATATTTATAACATATTCATATTATCATTAAAATATTAATGGAAAATATGATTTATTCGAAAATTATAACATATTTATAACATATTAATGGCAAATATGATTTATTCGAAAATTATAACATATTTATAACATATTCATATTATCATTAACATATTAATGGCAAATATGATTTATTCGAAAATTGTAACATATTTATAACATATGTGTGGTATAACTTTCAAATAAATTATATATATATATATATATATATATATATATATATATATATATATATATATATATATATATATACATGTTAACTACAGCAGTCGTAACTATCTTGCCCAACTAGGAGAAGGAAGAACTCTGATTTCAAAACCGGCTGCTTCCCGCTATCCTGTTCAAGAAACAACACTTCTACTGCGGCTGCAGTACTCGTGGTGCCCCTACGGATTACGGGATAAAAAAAATCTATAAAACTTAACATTTTATTCGGTTTAAGTTATAAAACCTAACAATTAATTAGGTCTAATTTTGAAAACCAAATATTTAACTAGGTCTAGGCTATAAAACCTAATATTTAACTAGGTCTTGTATATGAAACCTTACATTTAAGTAGATATTGCATGTGAAACCTCATATTAAAATACTTCTAGGCTATAAAATCCAACATTTCACTTAGTGTACACCCGTGTGAAAATTAATTTAAACAAAACGATTAATTCCGTTATTATTTATTTATTTTTTTGTATTTTTACAATAAAACATGACCCAGTGCCCATGTTAAGATTTCGTATGTCCATTCCACGAAGTCGTTCCTTGGAGATTGACCACAGATTCTCGATGGGATTTAAAGCAGGCGAGTTTCCGGGCCAGCCTATAATACTTTGATTTGCTCCCTAGTAATGCTTGCCAGTCTGTCCGTGCTGTGTTACAATTTTCGTATGTTTCCTTGGAGTAACTTCCATCGCAGACAATGACTGGAGGACAACTAATCGGCAGTCAAGACAATAGTGTTTGGGCGCGATAAAAATCTGAAAGCAATCACAGATGACGTAGTATTATCAAGGCCAAACAATATTCATGATACACCCTGAAAATAGATTCACATTACTGCACACCTCTTCAAATGACCTAATCCTAGGAAAAAATAGAAATCTATTATAGCCCGTCACTCCAGTAGGTTTACAACTGACAGAATGTTGATAGAAAGGAAAATAAAGCAGTTGTTTGAATTAATTTGCAAAAGGGTGCTTACTAGTCGTTTAAATGGTGCGGCCGGGCGCACTGATGTGCCCT